AGGCCCCTCTCGCTCCCTGGGCTCTCCCGGCCCTCCCGGAGCCCCCCTGGCCGCCGTACCGAGGCTCTGCCCCACCGGGGTGCTGAACGGGTTCCCCAGCAGAAACTCCATCTTGGGATGACAACAAACAGCGGCCCGACGCCCCCCCTCCCGCACCGCGCCCTGACTGACAGCCTCACCCACCAATCACAGCGCGCTCTGGCCAGAACGGCCCGCCTCCCCACCTTCCATTGGGCTCTGTCCGGACGCGCCGCAGTGTCATTGGTTGATAGCCGTGTCCATCACTGTCAAGCCAGGGCTCCGCCCCCAGTGTAGCCCCGCCTATACCCCCGCCTCCCGGTTGATGGACAGCGGGCACACCGCGACTGCCGTTCGCCATTGGACAAAGGCCAAACCTTCCTGTAAAGTTATTTGGCAAGGGAAACGTCAATCACGCGAGCCCCTTTCCGCCCCGAGGGCACGGTCCCGGCGTTGATTGGCTGACACGGATTTCTCGCGCCCTGATTGGCAGCTGGCCCTCCCACCCACTCCGCTCGCATTGGTGCCCGAGGAGGTCATGTGACCGCCCTTAGCAACACCCTCGGGCTTCCTTAGCAACGGGCGCCGAGGCGCGGGTGGGGCCCGGGAACCGGGAATCGAGGATAGGGGATCGGGAATAAGGAATAAGGAATTAGGAACTGGGCATAGAGCCGACCCAGAGCCCCGGGGGCCTGCGGGTGAGAGGTCTGAGGGGCTGGCATCTCGGCCTCGGTGTGTCTCGTGGGGGGAACCGGCGGCCCCTTCGCACCCACCGGGGACGGGTGGTTGGAACTGGCACTGACTGAAGGGACGACGGACAAGTGCTCATCCCTGGGAGTGCCCAAGGTCAGGCGGGACTATCCCCAGGCTGGGATAGTGGAAGGTGTCCCTGCCCATGGCAGGGGGTGGGACTGGATGGGCTTTGAGGTCCCTTCCAACCCAAACCATGCTGGGATTCTACAAGGAAGGTGGGAAGGAAGGTCAAGGATGGATAAACCCAGAACTGATGCTCTTTGGTCTTTACTGAGCACACCCATAGGTTTGGTTTATTAATGAAAAGCCTTGATGAGAATAGAACTCTCTAAACTCAGACATTTATCCTTCCTGTCCTATACACAAAAAACCCTCAGAACAACTTCCATAATTACAGACATCTTACGCAAGCAATAGCTTGACGGTTCCAGTCCTTCATACTGATTCATTAGCTGTGCAGGGTTCGGGAAAGACAAATAGTCTCATACCTCTGGGGCAACATTAGGGATATTTAAATTTCCATGAAGAATTTCATCACTGAAAGAGTTGTCAAGTGTTGGCACAGGTTGCCCAGAGAAGCCCCATCCCTGGAAGTGTCCAGGACCATGTTGGATGGGGATTGGATCAACCTGGGCTAGTGGAAGGTGTCCCTGCCCACGGCAGGGAGTGGGACTGGATAAGCTCTAAGTCCCTTCCCACCCAAACCATTATCTGGGATTCTGCGATTCTGTGACTGCTGGAAATTGTCTGAGGGCAGTGATTTAATTTATTTTCCCTTTCTGTCCCTTCAGGCCGACACTTCTCACAATGAGTCAGTTTTTCAATGACGTTGAGCCAAACATTATCGATGATGAAATGATTCTGAAAGCCGTTGAAAAGACATTTCCAGAGGACCTTGGAGATCTCGCCCAAGGGGAAAATATTAACTTTAAGGATGTGACAGAGCTGCAGCTTAGCTTTAAAAGTGAGTATTAGAATATATGCATTCTCCCTTCCTTCGTTAGAAGGTAATAGAGCAAAGCACAAGGCGGGTAACTGGCAATTAAACAATCACGATTAGCTTGGATTTATTATGTGAAAAGTAACATCTGAACTTGCATTGTTGGCCATCCCTGTGCAAAGTGTGAGCGAGCTGGGTGCTTTTGCTGATGGGTAACCTCAAAGCTGCTTCGCTTCCCATTGTTATCGTCACTGCTGTTCTCATTTAACATTTATATTGTGGTGACACCTACAGGCCACGGGCCTACAGGGCCCCTCGGTGCGTGGACAAATCCAACCCTGGGCAGGCTCTGCCACGGCTGGTGATTGTGTGAAAGCAGTTTTGGGGATTATGGTGATTACAGTCCAGTGTGGTGGCGTCCTCTGGTCATCCGTAGCTTTACCACAGCTTGCCTCTTACTGTCAAACCAGTCGTAAACTTGCATTCAGAAAGTGAAAGGGAAGAACATTTGGCTCAATATTTGAGTACTGGGGGGAGGGTGTTGTAATTTGATGGGCAAAAATCTACTTTTGTTTGTTCACTGTGTGCTCCAGCAAAATAATGTGTGTATGAGTTGATTTCCTTGGAAAAGACTCCCTTGACCTGAGCCTGCATAGATTTGCTTGCACATACAAAATGCAGACCGTGTGAACATTCTGTGCATGCAATTCCCTGCTTTAGTCTGCCCTCGGTAAATGAGGATAGCAGGAGAGCAGCTAATGAGATCTGGGAAGAGAAATGGGAATGGGAATATTCTGGTTTTCCTGTCCCTTTGGCCCTGATGTTCTGCTGTAGTGCCTCACAGCCTGCCCTTGTGATTCTGCTTTTTGGAGGAGGCGAAATGCAGGGATATTGATTAGTTCCAAACTGCAGCCTTCACTGAAAGAGTAGACTCCAACTTCCTCTCCCGTGATGAGAGTGCCGGCAGCAGGAGAGTCATTTACAAAAGCAGGAGCTGGGAACTGCTAGACTGCAAATGCAGAGGAAAGCAGAGCTCATCCTCTTGGAGCTGGAAGGGAAAATGAAGGTCAAGGCCTCCTAGTACTGGATTCATAAAGCCACTGGAGTGCAGGGCCATAGTCAGCAGCCCCTCCGCGCCTCGTTGGCCTCGCTGATGAGCAGCGTGCACTGGTGCAGGACACTGAGGTTAACTGGGCTGTTTCATTGAAATCTCATCCAGCCAGTGCACCTCTGAGCTCTCCAGGGCACTCATCACACGCTGAAAATCATTTTGGAGGTAGGACTGGACGTGTTTCCCTTGTGCAAGGTAGTGTGTCTGGTAAACCAAAAGCGATCTCACATGAAAAGCAATTTTCTTTTCTTTTCTTTTTTTTTTTTTTTCCCTGTGGCTTTAGGTATCCTGCAGATTGATAATCTGTGGCAGCTGGAGAATCTGACTAAACTGCAGCTGGACAATAACCTCATTGAGAAGATAGAAGCTCTGGAGAGTCTGGTTCACCTTGTATGGCTTGGTGAGATACAGATAGAGGAGGTTGGATCCTTCACAGGTGCAGAGCAATCTG